TTTATTTATTTATTTGTCTCAGGCATCTTGGCCCATAGTGAAATATACAATAATACAATACAAATAATTCAGGTTGCAAATACTATACACACATATACATAATATTTAATTTTACTGCTTATTTTACACGAAGTATCGGAGTCGTGTGTCGCTCGGTGTCTGGTATCCGGCCTCGAAATCGCCGGAACACTACACATTTCGGCCAAAATTCTTCCTTCATAAGAATCGACAGGTGTTCAGTGGGCACCCTCACCACAAAGGAATTGAAGTTTGTATTATGACGAGACTCCAACCGCTCGACTCTCATGACGAATTTGGATTTCACTCGGATGTACTCTACGATCTCCTCAACCTTTGTAGTGTAATGCAGCCGGGACACGTACAGCAGCGTCGTTGGTGTGGCAGGACGCAGCAGAAAGTTAGGTCCAGTCGGTGCTTTGCCGCACTGGTTCCGACAAGTGGGTTTCCTCTTCTTTCGCTTCTCCACCGTGATGAAACCATCTTCGTCAGAACCCCGTTGTTTCCAATCTTTGTGTACACATTCACGATTCTGTTTTCCCCCTATTTGCTTATCCTGGGATTTAGCAGGTTTGCTGGCAGCGGTAATATCGGCGTAAGCACGCTTAAGGGGCGATGTGCTCATGCGTGTCGTTACCTGACCTGAAGTCGACAGTCGGTCAGCTGCGGCGGCACGTGATGCATCGCTAGCAGAATTGATAGCGCCCGGTGACGTATTCGCCTCCTCAAAACTGCTTGCTACAGCAACTTGCGCACCGCGACGAGTGTTCACGTTAGAGGTGTCAAGTGGCCTACATTCCGAAACCGCACTGCGTAGCAGCACTATGTCGGCACGTAATTCACTAATGGTGTTATCAGAAACCTCTAACTTAGACTGCATCTCCACCAGGCTGGTTTTCAGGAACAAGATGTCTTTCAGTAGCCTGGTAACATCAACATGATCGAATGTCACGGGAGGGAGCCTGTGCAGCTCCTTCGCCACGAATGTTGGCACGTCGTCTGGATCGGTCACCTTTAATATCGAGATGATGTCCTGAATGCTTTTCTCAGTTCCATCCCTTCTTCGAGTCGGCATCTGGTCGAGCTTCCCCAGTGATTGGAAAATGAGCTGCTTGCCCTTGCTAATCTCATCTTCTTTGAAGTTGGATTTGCAGATCTGCATAATGCTCACTTCGTCCATGGTATCTATGGCATGTTGTATGAATGCCAACAGTTCGTTGGCTATGAGTTGATGCGAACTCATAGCGAATAATAACGTGCAGCGGCAGGAGCCGCGCAGTTTGCGTAGAAATAAAAATGACACGTCCGTACTCGACCGCGTATTGCAATGTATTTGATATAATGTATATCATTATTATTTCTCAGGATAAATGCCCTCCTGATAGCAGACGAGATACGTCGCGCGGTTGCGATAGACGTAGGTCTAGGTATACCGAAGATCAATGATCACACCATGCCTGGCTTCCAGTGGCCAGCGCTGGACTTCGGGTGGAGTTTGGCTGAGGTGAGTAAACTGATATACCTATGGAGTAGGAGGAGTGGGAGTACCCAGCGTCTCAATCCATAACATAACATCACGCCTTTTATCCCCGAAGGCAGAGTTGTCCTACGTCTAGTCTTGTCAGTATACTTAGACTTCGGTATCCGCTGCCAGGACAATCTGAAGCTTTGTTGCCACAACATCACGTCTTTTATCCCCGAAGGGGTAGGCAGAGGTGCACATTGCGGCACTTAATGCCACTGCACAATGTAATACCCACTTTTCACTATTTATGTTATGAGTCCCATGTAATAGGGGGTGAGCCTATTGCCATATACCGGCACAATCCCAGACTCTGTGCTACTACTGAGAATTTTTAAAAACCCAGTTATAATTTGCCTGACCCAGGAATCCTACTCAAGACCCCTTGCACGCACTCGCACTTGCGACCACTCGGCCAACGAGGCAGATGTGGTAGTTACCTTGTAAAATTTCCTTTTTACGTCGACTTTTTATTTTCAGGTTTTGAGCGCAGATTCAGAAAAGAACGACAAAAAGAAGGACGAGGATGAATCTAAGAAAGACATAAAGGACAGTGAGAGCAGGTATTTATTCTAATATCTATACTAATATTATAAAGTTGAAGAGTTTGTTTTTTTTTGTTTGAACGCGCTAATCTCCGAAACTACTGGTCCGATTTGAAAAATTCTTTCTGTGTTGGATAGCGCATTCATCGAGGAAGGCTATAGGCAGAGCGAGTGCAACCGCGCGGAAGTAGCTAGTATTTTATAACTAGCTTCCATTCGCGACTTTGCTCGCGCTCCCGTGAAAGAAATAACACACAAAGGACAGTGGGTATAACACACCCAGCTCCGTCATTAGTCAGACTACTTCTGGTTGAAAGCTATTACAGCTTTGGTTCACTCTGCCAAAGCTTTGATTCAGATTCTGTTCGTTTTTTTAATGGTATAAGATCCTACATTTTTTTTGTTGTTTTTCTAATAATTGATCAATTTTTGTTGCCATAATATCAAGTATTTCTTCTGTTTGCAATTGCGAGTTCACCTAATAGATTTTTGTTTAGGGGAAAGGACATTGCTCACCGTCCATACACTGTTGGGCCTGGAGCCAAGAGTATCGGATAATTATGTATTGTATTCTCTATCATTTGTAGACTCCTAGAAGTATCTGTATCCTGTATCTTGTTTTTATAGCGGATTAGCTGCAGAACAGATATATTTCACTAAAAGTATCAGATTTTGAGGTTATAATCTAACCAATTTTTGGAGGGAAAATCATCCAATGACTGCTCCCGCCTGGTTGAGGCGGGAGGGAGTGTCAGACTCTTCAGTAAGAGTCTGACACTCCCTCCTGATACTGTTTTTAGTCAGTACTAAAAACCACCCCGTTCCTTCTCCTACACGTCGAGCCGCAGCCCCTGTTGCCCGTCAGGTTCTCTGCGACTCCGAATCGGCCCTGTTGTGCCCCATCCGTGGTGGTCTGATGGCTCTTTGAGGCGCGCGCGGAACGCTCGGCGCCGTACGCTCGGGTCTGGTTCTGGTCGGACGGGGAGCCACCCATGCTGTATATCCTCCGGCCCGTGCTGACGGTCGCCGGAGATCGTCCCGCGATCCCCGACGCCCGGTGTGTCCTTTTCGATGGCTGGGTTGCGAGGACGCGTCCCGTCTCCTCCTTAGCTAGCATTACTGCTTCAAAAGGAGGAGACGGCATCCCAGTCCCCCTCGCTCCGCATCATGGCCTGCACTAGGCCCGGACGCGAGAGGTCGCCATCGCCGATCACTTCCCTGAGGGCACGGCGGGGCTCAGCCCACGCAGGGCATTCCGCTACAGTGTGTTCCACCGTGTCCTCACAATGATATAATCTAACCATAACAACGAATATTTGAACGAATGTTGAATGTTTGAATGATTGTATAGAAGTCAAGAAGTTTTGATTATTCTTACTACCCATTACGACGATTATTATTTATTACATTAGGCGAAGGCATTTGACATAAGGCGACGATGGTGATCTTATGTTATTAACCGCGTTTAATTTTATTAAAAGTACTTTTTGGAATACAGTTAGTCCGTGATACAGAAATATTTGCAACTTATATAATAAATTAGTGAATTGATTATCGTATATTCTGATACTCTTTATTACCCAGGGCCATTTTAGAACATAACTTTATTTTTGTTCCAATTTTCCAAAATAAAAGTAGCCTATGTTACTCCTTTGTACTGCCAATAAAAGTCTTGCAAAATCGGTCCAGCCATTCCAGAGATTACCGAATATAAACAGACAGACAGGCAAAAATTGTTAAAAAAAATACTTTGTTATGTGTATCGTATGTATATTCCTATGCATGTAGTAAAAAGCGGTTATTTTTATATTACAACCAGAAATTCCAATTTTATTTATCTGTATACATGTGTAGATGTGTAATTTATTTATTTATTTTTGGTTGTTTAGATGAGTAGTCTGATGGTGTCGGGTATTTCGTGGTGTAAATAAAAGTTCGACTCACGTATCACCAAGTTTATTCGATGGATCCGACACACGTGTAGTACAGAAGGCACAGTAGGAAAGTCACAAGCACTTATAAGCACAGCACAGAGATAGCGAGAAGACAGTCAGTATTAGAAGTAGTAAGGAATAGATAGAACTAAGGTAATTTTTATAGTTTTAAGCAAGTGAAAGAATTATCTATGCGCGTCGTAGCAAAATCTCGGCTAGACTGGTTTTTGACAGATATGCGCACACGCATCGGTAAGCGATCATCGGTAGCTATCGATAGTTATAACTATATTGGTAATTAGTGATGAGGGCTCTGTCGATAGGATTACAACTATCGACTATCGATGGAATTTTTATCGACCAACTGGTAAGGAAGTATTATGTATTCCGTACAAAAATGTAAATATATATATAAATGTATGTAGGTGTATGTGTATAGATTTGTTAGTTTTTAAGTTTATTTTCAGATGTAAATAGATTGCATAGTTTGTACAGTTACCTACATATTTATTATTTATGTACACACATACAATACAAAGGACAATACATATATTTATTAAAACAGAGTATATTGTAGTGATAGGACTATAATTATAGTTCTGAGCGCGACTTAAAATTGACCCTCTAGGTTTATCAGAGAGCGCTGCTGATTATCTCAATCAAATGTAAATAATAAAAATATTCAGCTATTAAGTAATTTTGATAATACTTCATCAGATGTATACATTTTTTTTCCATATTCCAGCAGTGACAAAGAAAAGACAGAAGCAGACGGCTCACAGAAGAGTACAGAAGAAGACACAGGTCTAGAAGATGACACACCCCCTGTAGAGAAGACTATCAATGATATACTGCAGGAGAAGGAAGCTGCTGAGGCTGACGCTGCTGTAAGCTCCCCCTTAACATGTGACGTAATTTATAGACCCCTTATGCTATGTTACATGCATACATACAGGTCAAACAGAGACCCTCCTTTTTTGGAAGTCGGTAAAAAATATGGATATGTAAGAATTGTATAATATGTTTGTTTCAGTTTGAGATAGGTACTTGGAGCAACGACATGGCGTCCTCGATCCCCGAGACGTCGGAGTACGACGAACTGATGGAACCTCTTCCTCCCAACCTCACCTTCTGTACTTCTGCTTCTGGTGAGCTATTATTTTATATACTAGGATAGGATAGAGATATATTTATTTAATAAACAATGAAGGTATCTTTGGTTAGTACAGAGTCTACATGTTTTACCATTTATGGCGTACTTAATCAATCGCTTTAGGCAGACAATACCTGTTTGGTGTAAACCCGAACACCTGCTTACGAAGCAGTCTTCATGTATCGTTTTAACATGAACATACGAGACTTGTAGATCGCGAACAGAACGGGTGCATTCATCAAATAACATAAACATTAATATTTCTAACATTTTTAACATTAACATTAAGAAAGTGCTCTGAACTCTTTATAAATATTAAACTTTTACGGTCACTTATGCGTTCGATATCTACCTACGAACTTACACCCCGTTCAATACCAAAGTCTATACTTGGAATTTTAATTCGATTCCAGCAGCTGTAGCCAAATGCCACTTAGCGCTTGTCTACATGTAGAATAGAAAACCAAATTATATGGAATTGACGTAAATTTTGACACTTGTCAGTGTCATCCCCATACATTTAGATTTCTACTCTCTCTGTAGACAAGCGCTAAAGTGGCGTTTGGCTAAAGGCCCTGATTTGACAATTTCAGTGTTGCAACGTTATGACAAGTACTAAATAGTGACGTTGCGAAATTATTCGATATGGAAATGCAATATTTCTGGATCGATTCTTCTCGTTTATAATTTTACTCCCGTAAACTAAGGATATCAGGAAATTAAATATTTCTGACCGATAATTTAGTTTTGACGATTACTTAAAGATCTGAGACTTTTCTTTTATAATTGTATGTGAAATAACTAAAAAAAATGTAATCAATAATCATGAAGGAACATGACAAATAAAACAGATAGATGTATTATGGTAATAAGTTATTTTATAAATTGTCGCCGTCATCGCTATCGCTATCGTGTCACTTTCTGTAACATTTATTATAAAACACACACACTGATTGTTTATCGATTTTTGTGTTCATCACTACACTATTATATGTGGTATCATTATTTCACAAAGTGACAGTAGCTATTGTCAAATCTGGAATCTAATTAAAATTCTGACTATACAAACAAAATCACAAGTCAAACAGTTTAAATTATATCAACTGGTTACCTAAATTAATAAACAAGATGTCATTGTATCCATATTCAGGTTAAATTAAATTATACTAACAAAAAAAATAACACAGAAATAATACAGATACATTGGGATGATGACAGGGTATGATAATTAAAAATGGACGTCGACGTCACTTCTATGCACATTTTGTACGTAGAAATGACGTTTTAGCCCCCACTCCTGAACTTTGATTCGTTTTATCTAAGTATTATTTTATTATACGACAAAATAAAAAAATACGTGTCTAATATTTTACCATTACATAACTTACGGACTAATTAGATTTTTAACTTTCATACCCTGTTATCATCCCAATTCGGTCATACTCAAAATAATGCTTTAATAATGTTACTAGGAGGTACAAATTGGTGCGATCCTGTAGTCAAGCCGAAATACAACCAATATGGAGCGTCAAAGAACTTCTCAATGGCTGACAGCGATGATTCTTTTATGTCTAGGTAAGTTATGTAAAGACTGTATTACTTATAATGATTATTAAATTAACTAAAATCGCGGGTTATTCTTGTGAATACACTGAGGAAAGCTCTACTAGTTTCGAGCCACAGAGGGGTTCTTCCTCACGAGCTGTGTGCGCGGTTGCGGCGATAACGCGCAGGCTATTGACCTTTTCTCAGTATATTCACGTGAGTAACCCGCGATTTTTAGTTCATTTAGTATGTCTCACGATAGTTATTATAAAAATATAATGATTATGTTATACAGTATTTGTATTATAACATTCGTGAGACATACTAAATAAATTATTATGTTTTCGGCTTACTCACGTAATTATTAGACGAGGAAGGAGTCTATAACTGCCTACTGCTGACTAAAGACCTTTTATCACACGGAGAAGGTTTGAGCATTAATCACCACGCCCCTGTTCAATTTTCTCTACTTTTTCGCGTTTTCCGGTAAACGAGCAGGCGGATCACCTGATGGTAAGCAATCGGCGTCGCCCATGGACACATGGAACACCAGAGGCGTTACAAGTGCGTTACCGGCATTTTGGGGATTAGGAGTTTGAGGATCGTCGGGGATTCAGGGATTGGGGAGATTGGGGAAGGGGAGGGTAATTGGGCGTCCGGTAACCTCACTCACACGACGAAACACAACGCTGTGGTTGCTTCACGTCGGTTTTCTGCTCGCCCGTGGTATCACTCCGGTCGAGCCGGCCCATTCGTGCCGAAGCATGGCTCTCCCACACTTAACTGTGTCCACACTTAAGTCTGATAGAGACTTTTTATACGTAATTTATTACAGAAACTTTGCATTTCCTTTTGACGCGGTCCAAAGGAGAGCTGTGAGACTTGTTGACGATCCTATACTTACGAGCGTTCGTGGGCTGAGCACCGCCGTGTCCTCAGGGAAGTGATCGGCGATGGCGACCTCTCGCGTCCGGGCCTAGTGCAGGCCATGATGCGGAGCGAGGGGGATTGGGATGCCGTCTCCTCCTTTTGCGAAGCAGTCATGCTTCCGGTAAACGAGCAGACGGATCACCTGATGGTAAGCAATCGGCGTCGCCCATGGACACATGGAACACCAGAGGCGTTACAAGTGCGTTACCGGCATTTTGGGGATTAGGAGTTTGAGGATCGTCGGGGATTCAGGGATTGGGGAGATTGGGGAAGGGGAGGGTAATTGGGCGTCCGGTAACCTCACTCACACGACGAAACACAACGCTGTGGTTGCTTCACGTCGGTTTTCTGCTCGCCCGTGGTATCACTCCGGTCGAGCCGGCCCATTCGTGCCGAAGCATGGCTCTCCCACACTTAACTGTGTCCACACTTAAGTCTGATAGAGACTTTTTATACGTAATTTATTACAGAAACTTTGCATTTCCTTTTGACGCGGTCCAAAGGAGAGCTGTTAGACTTGTTGACGATCCTATACTTACGAGCGGTATCGAGCACTTAAGTCTAAGGAGAGATTTTGCCTCCTTGTGCGTGTTCTACCGCTTGTATAATGGGTTGTGTTCTGCGGAATTGTTTGATATGATACCCACGGCCACTTTCTGTCATCGCACCGCTCGCCATCGACAGGGAGTTCACGCTCACTCATTGGAGCCAAAATGGTCCCGTACAGTTCGGTTTTAGAGGAATTTTCTCCCATAGACCCTTCGATTGTGGACTGAACTTCCTGCTGTTGTTTTTCCAATGGGCTACAACATGGGTTCTTCAAGAGGGGAGTGAATAGGTTTCTTAAGGGTCGGCAAGACGCATGTAATGCCCCAAGTGTTGCAGGCGTACATAGGCCACGGTAATCGCTTACCATCAGTTGAGCCGTGTGCTTTTAAGCCATCGTCGTGGTATAAAAAAAACAATTCGCCGTCATGCGATGATGCGATGCAAAGACAAGGAAGCAGAGACAAAACAAATATAGATTAACAAATGACATATATTTTGTCCCTAGCGATCTAGATTCAGATGATACAGACCTAGACTACGACGGTAGCGATGAAGATGCAGACGCCAATGGATTCTGCAGCAGTAGGAATGCTAACAGTGAGTACTATTACTAACACTTTTTTATTAAGTCGACCAGCGGGGTTATTATGAGTCAGAATGCTCCATTGAGGGAAAGAAACAGAGCTATATGAGTCGTCTAGCGATATCTCGTTCCCTCAACGGAACCACTTTGGCTTTAAGACGTCATAATACGCGACCTGCGCGCTTACTCTTGAATCCAATCTCAATGTCAATCCAATAAAATCTCAATAATTATTCAATGTCAACACTATACAACCACAATCGTAGCTGTTACTGTCGATGTACTGTCGATGTATAAACAAAAAGAAAAACAAAAAAAATAAAGATGTCATTTTTTTTAATTAAAAAAAAAGTGTCATGGTCATTAAACTGTCAAACACCAAGCGGTCACCGGTGACCGCAACCTATTGTTCTATAATTGTGTCTACAAAACCGGTACTCGACGAGTTAAATCGTAAACTTGTAGGCAGTATTCGCATCGCACGTGCCACCCGACGAGAAATACCTCTTTGAGAATTACATGGCGTGATGTTTTGATAATGTACTGTAATGAGTTCGTATGCGCTTTCGAAGTTTGTTGTTTGCAATGGTTCACCAGTTACTTTTTGTTTTAAACATTTTATTTCTTTGTAAAACTATTGTATTACCGAGACAGAACCATTTTATTTCGGGACGAAAACGAAATAGGTGTCAGAATCAGAATCATTTATTTGTTAAACATGGTAGTTTACATAATGTCTTACATATATAGTCCACTATGTTTCGCCGTGATAGACATACAAATATATTAGGTACATACATTTGAAACATTATTAGAATATTACAATTTGAGTTAAATTTTATACAATAATAATAAAATAATAAAAATGAAATATGTCAAAATTATGTCAATTAAAATTGGTAAGAAATAAATTAAAATTGGTAAGAAATAAATTAAAATTGTCAAGAAATAAATTAAAATTGTCAAGAAATACATTAAAATTGTCAAGAAATAAATTATAATTGTCAAGAAATAAATTAAAATCGTCAAGAAATAAATTAAAATTGTCAAGAAATAAATTAAAATGTCGCGGTGTATAATTATCTCCTTTTTTTAACTCTTCTAGCGACAATGGGCGTTCGCATTGAGTATAAGACTGCTCATGAAGCTGAAGCATTCGACATAGAACGAACTAAGAAGGTGAATCCTGCGCCGTTGCCTGATGAGGAAGACGACGCCAACGACAGGGCAATACATGATGAACTCATCCGTCAGGGGAGCGCGCCTGACGAGGTTAGTAGCAGTTTCAACTTACTTTACCACCGTGTCTCTTCATGTGGGTGTCGTTTACCCGATTAAGGGATTACGTATTTAATAAACGGTAAAGTATAATACTATTTTCACCACTCCTGGTCTTCACGCGGGTGTCATATACCTTAGTAATAGCTGTACTTGTGATACATCGCGAGGTTGGATCTGTTGGTTGGTTCAAGAATATTGATAAGTTGATAACATACCTCAACAGCCTAAAAATGCCCAATGCTGAGCAAAGCCTTTTCTCACATGGAGAATGTTTGAGTATTACTCACCACGCTTGCTCAACGCGGGTTTGCGATTCCAGACTTATAATTAGAAATTATAAGCCCAGGTTTCCTCACAATGATCGCGAGACGATCTCCGGCCACCGGAAGCGGGGGCCGGCCCCGCCCAACCAGACCCGAGTGTACGGCGTCGAGCGTTCCGCGCGCGCCTCAAAGAGCCATCAGACCACCACGGATGGGGCCCAACTGGGTTGATGCCGATACGGAGCCGCGGAAGACTTAACGGGTTACCGGAGCACCGGTTCAAAGTGTAGGAATAGGAACGGGGTGGTTTTTAGTCAGTAAGAGTCTGAAACTCCCTCCCGCCTCGCCCAGGCGGGAGAAATCATTTGATGATTTTGCCCCCTCAAAAAAAAAGGCTTCCTCACGATGTTTTCCTTCACCGTTTGTCAGTGGTGACTAAATAATCCTAGAAAGTAGGTACACTCGGCCACACATCAATCTATACAAAACCAGTTTATCCTGGTGTCGCGTCGCATCATCTTTCCGCACATTTAACGTTCAGTTTATACTGGCTATGTAAAGCTCGATGTGTAGCCGTGTGAACATATAACTCGGAACAAGTCTATGACTATAACCATTACGTACGTTTCAAGCCATGTTAGAGGCTCATATTAAAGAGCAGTAAGCTGAAACCATATTAATGACTGCACGGTTGGTGCGGTGGCTGGGCAACCGGCTGCCATGCAACGTGTCGCGGGTTGGATTCCCGCACGGAACAACACTTTGTGTGATCCACAAATTGTTGTTCCGGGTCTGTGTGTCATGTGTATGTGAATTTGTATGTTTGTAAACGCACCCACGGCACAGGAGAAAATCCTAGTGGGGGGCAACGTTAAAAAAAGAAATTAGTATGTATCACGAAAGTTATAATATAAAGATTAAACTGTCAAACACCGCGCGGTCACCGGTGACCGCAACCTATTGTTCTATAATTGTGTCTACAATGACGGTACTCGACGAGTTAATAATGATTTTTGCTTCCTTCCACAGTACATACAAAAGTTCCGTTCAGCCGTCACCCAACACAAACAAGATATCATAGATAAGAACCAACTAATAACCAAAGAGGATGATATCACAGAAATCCTACCAGAGACAAAGGAAACGTACCATAGCTCCATAATCTGTAAAAAAACTGAAACACAAGCCATAGACGAATTATTCCCGTACACCACAGACGAATTGGAAATCAAGGACGGACAAATAAGCATAGAAAGTATAGAGAGAAACAAACGAGTGTTGCTAGCTCAAATAAAAGAAAAAATACCAAGCTACCAATTGAAGAAATTAAATTGCTTTTCCATGAAAGATATTAATATTGATTCGAAAGATTATATTAATGAAAAGATTGTTAACGTTGGTTTTGATAATAAAGAGGGGTATAAAGATGTTTGTAAGGGGATGGGGGAGTTCATACCGTATTATACGGATGGAAGGGGGGGCAAGGAATTCGATTTTGATTTCCAACCCGTGCTGGAAGGGCATCCTGGACCGAGTCCTAGTGTTATTTTGCAGGTGAGTTTTTTTTAGTTTTTTGTGATTTTTTAAGTCCATTAGAAGTATTTTTCAATCAGTCAAATTATACAGGGTTACAGGGTAAGTCGATCTAAATCCTTTAAGTGGTGATAGTATCCTTTATTCCTGCTCCGGCTCGACGTGCAAAAGAAGGAACGGGGTGGTTTTTAGTCAGTAAGAGTCTGACACTCCCTCCCGCCTCACCCAGGCGGGAGCAGTCATTCGATGACATCGGTCAGGAATAAAGGATTTATTTTTTTTAGACCAAGGAACCCCATATCCCAAACTTAACCGATCTAAAGATCGGCCTTTGTATTACTCTTATAAAAAATCCAGATTTTGGTCGATTGCACGCATTTCTTGTGTCTCAATTTTGATTCTGTATTTAGCTATTTTGTGTAGAGATTTATTGCTTTATTATTTGAAACCATACAATTGCGAGTGCTTTATTATTTGAAACAATTAAATATTTTGTTTAGGAATAGCTAGACAATAATAAAAATAACTGTATTGTTAAATCAATGGGGTAGTTGACTAAATTTGATTTTAATGTCCGTCTGGTAGATTAATTTAAAACATTAGATACATATTTTTTCTTTTCTCACAAAATTAAATGCTTTCGACGATATATATATTAATCTGAAATATCGTGTGACGTCACAATGCGCTACATTTTGTAGCACTTATGTCGGAATACTCAAACGCTACTCAATTTTAAGTCGTGCTTAAGTATAGTTCTGTCTCTACAAATTCTTTGTAAAATGACAGAGATGGCACGACATTTAAGCACGACTTAAAATTGAGTAACGTTTCAGTATTCCGGCATTAGTATCTAACGTAACGAGCTCCGACTTCTAAACGTAACTCCATTTTGTCTAAGTATTGTAACTTTATACGAGAAAATAAAAAAATACGTGTCTAATATTTTTTCATTGTCTAACTGACGGAGTAATTAGATTTTTAATTTTCATTCCCCGGCAACTACCCTATTGTTTGCACGGTTCGTGTAATAACTAAGCAACTGATTGCTATGCGACGTCTCGCGGATTCAATTCCCGTACAGAACAACTCTTTGTGTGATCCACAAATTGTTCTTGGTCTGGGTGTCATGTGTATGTGAACTTGTATGTTTGTAAACGGACACACGACACAGGAGAAAATTGTAGCGTAGAACTGCGTTAAGTATGAAAAAATAATCATATATCATATTTTAATTTAATTCCAGGCGCTTACAATGTCAAATGCGAACGACGGTATAAATCTAGAACGACTAGAGACGATTGGCGACAGTTTCTTAAAGTTTGCTATAACCGCATACTTGTACTGCGCGCACCCTACCGTGCATGAGGGGAAACTCAGTCATATGAGGAGTAAACAGGTATGTTAACGATAAAGTCAAAATTATTCTATAGCGGCAAATGAGGAGATAACCTGATGGTAAGCAATCGGCGTCGCCCATGGACACACACTAGAGGAGATATGTTTTTATATTAACTATATAGACATACTGAATTAACTAAAAATCGCGGGTTACTCACGTGAGTATACTGAGAAAAGCTCTACTAGGTTCTACTAACTGTTATCCACAAATAAACATATTGACTGCACGGTTGGTGCGGTGGCTGGGCAACCGGCTGCCGTGCAACGTGTCGCGGGTTCGATTCCCGCACGAAACAACACTTTGTGTAATCCACAGATTGTTGTTCCGGGTCTGGGTGTCATTGTGTATGTGAACTTGTATGTTTGTAAACGCACCCACGACACAGGAGACAATCCTAATGTGGGGCAACGCTTTTAAAACAATACTAACTAGTAGACTGCGCGACATCGCCGCGACCGTGCATGCTGCTCATGAGGATGGTCCCCTCTGTATCTCCTAACTAATAGAGCTTTTCTTAGTATTTTTGCGTGAGTAACCTCCGATTTTTCGTTAATTTTGAAGATCACCTATTGGTAAGCAATCGGTGTCGCCCATGGACACACGCAACACTACAGGAGATACTTTATTAATGAGACAAGCCCGCCACAATCTCCCAAAATCGCTGCAACTCCTGTACACCAGGATTTACAATAGATACAACTATGCAAACACCGGAACACTGAAGTCCAACGTCTCAGGGACATGAATAATTGTTTAGATTTCCGCAAGGAAATGAATCAGTAGATATTATATAAGAGTTGTATATTGTATAGTGTTGACATCCTTACTATATATAATATTATAAATCGGAAAGTGAGTTTGTTTGTTTGTTTGTTCCGCTTTCACGCCGTAACTACTAAACCGATTGCTTTGAATTTTTGCAGACGTAAAGTTAGAAGTCTGGATTAAATAATAGGGTACTTTTTATCTCGGAAAATTGATATTATCGAGGAAAAACGAAATCATTGGTATAGATGGCGCTGTGTGTATATGTCACATAGGCTACTTTTTATCCTTTTGTGACGCGAGCGAAGCCGCGGGTAAAAGCTAGTTGGATATATATTGAGATTTTGTTGGCATTGGGTACAGGCTACATTTATTTTGAAAAATTGACTCAATATAAGAAGTTATTTCTTAAAATTCGTATCCTACGCGAACAAAGTCGCGAGCAGCTACAAACTTATTAATATAATAATAATAACATCATCACGCCTTTTATCTCCGAAGGGGTAGGCAGACGTGCACACAGAAGTAACACCCACTTTTCACTATTTATGTTATGAGTCCCATGTAATAGGGGGTGAGCTTATTGCCATATACCGGGCACAATTCCAGACTCCGTGCTACTACTGAGAATTTTAAAAACCCAGTAATACTTCGCCCGACCCGAGGATTGAACTCGAGACCCCTTGCCCGCCAGTCGCACTTGTGACCACTCGGCCAGCGAGCATCTATAATTAATAATTACATTTTGTCGTCTTCCAGGTATCAAATCTGAACCTCTACCGACTAGGCCGTAACAAGCGACTGGGCGCGCGTATGATTGCGTCCAAATTCGAACCACACGACAACTGGCTACCTCCCTGCCATAAGCCACCTCCTACTTTACATCCGAGGTTGAATGTAAGTTTATTTTATTATAATTTATACTCTTACTGTTCTTTTCGTCGATAATCGAGTAGATGGATCACCTGATGGTAAGCAATCGGTGTCGCCCATGAACTCACGGAACACCAGAGGCGTTACAAGTGCGTTACCGGCCTTTTGGGGATTGGGAATATGAGGATTTTGGGGGATTGGGGGATTGAGGAGACAGGGGAGGGGAGGGGGTAATTGGGCCTCTGGTAACCTTACTCACACGACGAAACATACCGCAAGCGTTGCTTCAAGTCGGTCATCAGCTCGTTGGTAGTATCACTCCGGTCGAGCCGGCCCGACGCATGGCTCTCCCACACTTAAAACTTCTAACGAGTGGTGTTGTATACCCGACTAAGAAAATATACATTTATCAGAGAACGTCTATTAGTGTTCTCTGATACTCGAGCGTCCGTGCACGCCTCAACGAGCAATCAAACGACCACGGATGGGGCCCCATAGGGCTGATGCCGATACGGAGTCGCGAAAGACTTAACGTGTTACCGGGGCTCCGGCTCGACGTGCAGGAGTAGGAACGAGGTGGTTTTTAGTCAGTAAGAGTCTGACACTCCCTCCCGCCTCACCAAAAAACGGGAAAGTCATTGGATGATTTTCTCCCTTTAAAAATATCATCTTATGTTTATTGTTCTATCTACAGGGCGAAGGTAAAGACGTGATGCAGCATCTGGAAACTCCATTGGACGCTGCGGGGTGTTTCATCCCGTACAACTTGATTACCCAGCACAGCATACCAGGTTAGCACCATAATACTGGAGCCAAGATCAATGTGAATTTTCTTTTTTTTTTATGGCATAAACCGGTAAAGCAAGCAGACGGATCACCTGATGGTAAGCAATTGGCGTCGCCCATGGACACTTGAAACACCAGAGGCGTTACAAGTGCGTTACCGGCCTTTTGGGGATTAAGCATTTAAGGATTGTGGACGGTTCGGAAAAAGGGGAGGCTGGAAAGGGGGGATAATTGAGCCTCCGGTAACCTTACTCAGACGACGAAACAGAACGTAGCGTTGTTTCACGTTGGTTTTCTGTGAGGTCGTGGTATCACTCCGGTCGAGCCGACCCATTCGTGCCGAAGGACTTCTCTACGCACTCTACCTCTCTACTCTCCTACACTTAGATATAATCAGATAAAATAGATTTTTTAGAATTTTTCGAATGTAATTTTAAAACAACTGACTTGTTGATAGCAATAAGGATGTTAAAGGGATATGAAAATTAAAAATCTAATTAGTCCGTCAGTTGGGTAATGAAAAACATACTAGACACGTATTATTTTTGTTTTGTCATATAAGAAAACAATACTTAGTAGTATTTGTATTGTAACTTTCGTGAGACATACTAAATAAATTATTATGTTTTCGACTTACTCACGTAGTAATTCGACGAGGAACTCGACTAGTTTCAAGCCATGCTAGAGGCTCATTCATGAGCAGCATTTCGCGACCCGCGACTTGGCATTGAAGAATTGAAGCATGGGTTGAAACTAGTCGAGTTCCTCGTCAAATTACAACGTGAGCAAGCCGAAAACATAATAATTTAAATACTTAGTAATAGTATGCACCTCTGCCTACCCCTTCGGGGATAAAAGGCGTGATGAAATGTTATGTCACCGCGCCCCTTTTTACCAAGCTGTATCTCGTATTCGTTTTCAGATAAATCAATAGCGGATTGCGTGGAAGCCCTGATAGGGGCGTATTTACTGGAGTGCGGTCCCCGTGGGGCCCTACTGTTTATGTCGTGGCTGGGGATCAGGGTGTTGCCGTGTCACCACGTCGAGTTGGACGATAATCACCCGTTTGTGAAACGAGTGAAGAAGATGGAGAAAGATAATCAGGTATAATCCATGTGTACCTGTACTGTTTGTTTGTTTATTCTCACATAATAGGGTAGACGACTAATTTTTATTTTAATGTCCGTCTGGTAGATTATTTTAAATCATTACACACGTATTTTTTATTTTCTTACAGAAACGAATACTTTCGACGATATATTGATTTGAAATGTCGTGTGACGTCACTTTTATGTGCATTTTATACGTAGAAATGACGTTTTAGCCCCCACTCCTAAACTTTGATTCGTTTTATCTAAGTATTGTTTTATTATAAGACAAAATAAAAAATTATGTGTCTAATATTTTATCATTACCTAACTTACGGACTAATTAGATTTATAATTTTCATACCCTGTCGTCATCCCAATTGAACTCAACGAAAGAATGTAACCAAAAATTGTATTGTGAACATGATTGAAAAAGAGTAAACCTATGGAGTTTCTTGCTCGTTCTTCTCCATAGGAATCTACACTTTGGAACGAGCAAATAGCTTCACTAGAACACTGACCTTTGACATTTTTTCTTATTATTTAGAGCCAATTTTTCTATGCTCAGATAAATTTTAACTAAGGAATAACTTTCAAATTTGACTATTCTTCCATATTAACAACTGTCAAAAATAAAATTACCTTTTATCAACACAAACTTCGCAATCAAATAATATAGGTACCTGTACTAGACATATACACTAGTTGAAAAACCTACACAAATAATTATCTACTTCTATCATATTTACGCAATTTTATGTTTAATATTTGTGAAACAAGTGAATTTATTTCTGCAAATAGGCTACAAGGCAGCACTTGTACACGTCAATTTTATCAAGCGAACGATGAGGTCGATCGTCTTATTCCTAATAATTTAACTCATCGAGTACCGTCATTATAGACACAATTATAGAACAATAGGTTGCGGTCACCGGTGTCCGCTTGGTGTTTGACAGTTTAAACGAAAGCATAAAATGTATTATGTACCTATGTCTTGTGTGAGTATGATTGTTCGCCGGGGGGGTGGGGGGTTAAACTTACATGCCTACCCTGTCTCGAAAAGACTGCACTTGTGCAAGGCAGTGGCCTTGAGGACAATAAAATCATACAGTCTGGAGCTGACCAGTCCCAATTGACGGCGCCCGTTCACGAACATGAATTATGTACCTACTAATTCACTTTAAAATTACCCCTAATGATTTCTATACCTCTTCCCCCCACCAGGAACCCAAATCCCCCTCAACACCGGACCTCAAGCGCAGTTCCTCTACATCGTCATGTTCGGACGACGACAGTCCCCCCCAGCAGGAAGTGTTCCCCGCGGAGGACTGGTCGTGGCCGGCCAGGGCGGTCGGCTCGCTGCAACCTTACAGAGATGCGGACGGCAAGTGGATGCAGGTGATATAAAATATAATATATTTTTTTGTTTTATTTTTTTTTTTCAGCCATGTTATTCCCACTGCAGTGCAAAGGCTTCCCTACCCTCCTTCCACTCATAACATAACATCACGCCTTTTATCCCCGAAGGCGTAGGCAGAGGTGCACATTGCGGCACTTAATGCCACTGTACAATGTAACACCCACTTTTCACTATTTATGTTATGAGTCCCATGTAATAGGGGGTGAGCCTATTGCCATATACCGGGCACATTTCCAGACTCCGTGCTACTACTGAGATTTTTAAAAATCTAGCAATACTTTGCCCGACCCGGGTATCGAACCCGAGATCCCTTGCCCGGCAGTCGCACTTGCGACCACTCGGCCAACAAGGTAGTCTTATGAATTTACTGTCAATGTAATCAAATGTTAACGTAACTACTGAGTATGTCATGTCAATTTGTTAATAATCAATCAATCAGCCTTTGACCACTTTGACATGACTTTCTTGCAGCCAATATTTGGCGAGTTGAGGGCGCCACCGTCGCCTTTGCTCCGGTATATAGAAGATCCTGAAGGGGAGTTGGAACAAATGCTCTCAGGTCAGTATAATCACTACATAGTATAAAACAAAGTCGCTATCCGCCGTCTGCCTGTCCCTATGTATGCTTAGATCTTTAAAACTACGCAACGGATTTTGATGCGGTTTTTTTTAATAGATATTGATTCTTAAGGAAGGTTCATATGTATAATACATGCATATTGCACCCGTGCGAAGCCGGGGCGGGTCGCTAGTTGTTTTATAATTTACGTAAAATATCATCATGACATCAGCCACGTACTCTCCCCTGCCTCGCACAGTCCTCCCCTGTAGACTACACATCGCGAGGTTGGATCTGTTGATTGATTCCAGAATAACGTTTAATAATTAATAAGGTAATATAATAGGGGATTAATTATCGTATATTCTGATACTCTTTATTGCACAGGACATTGGACCCTTTTGGACATTGTCTTTTCGTACTCTTGAGTTGCAACACTAGCGCCCATTGCATCCGTATTGCGTGAATATTGTTTGAACTAAATGGTATTGAGTTTGTCTTTATATTCCGTACTCTGAATGCTATTGTAACAGCTACGATTGTGGTTGTATAGTGTTGACATTGGATAATTATTGAGATTTTATTGGATTGAAACTGCATTGACATTGAGATTGGTTTTAAGAGTAAGCACCCTTATAAAGATGAACCTTTTATGCCGCGAAATTATAGCATAACATCGTCAACAGCGAACTGAAGCCGTTGATGTTCATATTCTTTTTATGGCATAAGCCGGTAAACGAGCAGACGGATCACCTGATGGTAAGCAATCGGCGTCGCCCATAGACACTTGAAACACCAGAGGCGTTACAAGTGCGTTACCGACGTTTTGGGGATTGGGAATTTGAGCATTGTAGCGGATTTAGGGATTGGATTGAGGGGGGGGGGAGGGTATAATTGGGCCTCCGGTAACCTCACTCACGCAACGCAAGCGTTGTTTCACGTCGGTTTTCTGCTCGGCCGTGGTATCACTCCGGTCGAGCCGGGACTACAGTGCAGAATCATGGCTCTTACATACTTCGAATTATTTTATTTTATTGTTGTCTCCCAGGTTACGACGCCCTCGAAAGGACCCTCCAGTACCGGTTTAAAGACCGCTCTCTGTTACTGCAAGCGTTGACCCACGCCTCTCATCATAGCAACCGTCTGACTGATTGCTATCAAAGATTGGAGTTTCTAGGAGACGCCATATTAGGTAAGTACATGGTTCTTAAACCTCGTTGGCCGAGTGTTCGCAAGCGCGACGTCGGGCAAAGTATTACTGGGTTTTATAAAAAAAATCTCAGTAGTAGCACGGTGTCTGGAATCGTGCCCGGTATATGGCAATAGGCTCACCCCCTATTACATGGGACTCGTAACATAAATAGTGAAAAGTGGGTGTTACATTGTACAATGGCTTTGAATGCCGTAATATGCAACTCTGCCTACTCTTTCGGGGATAAAAGGCGTAATGTTATGTTAAGTCGCGAAACATGTCACGGGTTCGATTTCCGTACGGAACAACTCTGTATGTGATCAACAAATAGTTGTTCCGTGTGTCTGTGTGTGATGTGTATGTGAACTTGTATATTTGTAAACGGACACACGACACGGGAGACAATCCTATAGTGAGGCAACATACAAGATCACACAAAGTGTTGTTCTGTGCGGGAATCGAACCCGCGACACGTCGCACGGCAGCCGGTTGCCCAGCCACCGCACCAACCGTGCAGTCAATACAATATTATACATAACATCACGCCTTTTATCCCGAAGGGGTAGGCAGAGGTGCACATTATGCCACTGTACAATGTAACACCCACTTTTCACTATTTATGTTATGAGTCCCATGTAATAGGGGGTGAGCCTATTGCCATATACCGGGCACAATTCCAGACTCCGTGCTACTACTGAGAATTTTTTGAAAACCCAGTAATACTTTGCAATACAATTGTGTTGTACAATTACAATATTATATGTCATAGCAATATTATGATTCTACATTTTAGATTACCTAATAACCCGTCACCTATACGAGGACCCGCGGCGTCACTCGCCGGGCGCGCTGACCGACCTCCGCTCCGCACTAGTCAACAACACTATATTCGCTACTTTAGCGGCTCGACATGGGTTTCATAAGTAAGTATACGTTTTAATCAATTTCTTATATCTTTTTAAGACCTTTGTACTTCATACGGAGTCGCGGAGGACTTAACGGGTAACCGGGGCTCCGGCTCGACGTGCAGGAGAAGGAACGGGGTGGTTTTTAGTCAGTAAGAGTCTGACACTCCCTCCCGCCTCACCCGGGCGGGAGCAGTCATTCGATGATTTTCCCCACTTAAAAAAGACCTTTGTTTAATTATTAGTTTTTTTCAATTACGTGATAGATAGAAAAAAGGATTTTTTTCCCATTAAACCATAAATATTCATTGTTTTAAAAGTTATCGATCGCGTGATCGCAAGTGCGACTGCCGGGCAAGGGGTCTCAGATTCGATTCCCGGGTTGGGCAAATATTACTGGGTTTTAAAAAATCTCAGTAGTTTTTTTTTGTTTTAAGCATTGCCCCACATTAGGATTATCTCCTGTGTCGTGTGTACGTTTACAAACATACAAGTTCACATACACATGACACCCAGACCCACAACAATTTGTGGATCACACAAAGTGTTGTTCCGTGCGGGAATCGAACCCGCGACACGTTGCACGGCAGCCGGTTGCCCAGCCACCGCACCAACCGTGCAGTCTCGTACAGCAAAGTAGTAGCACAGAGTCTCGATTTGTGCCCGGTATATGGCAATTGTCCCATGTAATGGGGCTCACCCCCATTACATGGGACTCATAACATAAATAGTGAAAAGTGGGTGTTACATTGTACAATGACATAATGTGCACTTTTGCCTACGTCTTCGGGGATAAAAGGCGTGATTTTATGTAAGATATATAAATATCATTATACATATAAATATACCTACGACCCACATATCCTATCATGCAACAAATCTTTCCTCTTTATAATATTTGTGTAGATAACAATAGGGTAGATGCCTAATTTTTTTTCAATGTCCGTCTGGTAGATTATTTTAAAACATTAGACACGTATTTTTTATTTTCTTACAGAAACGAATACTTTCGACGATATATTGATTTGAAATGTCGCGTGACGTCACTTCTATGTACGTTTTATACGTAGAAATGACGTTTTATCGCCCACTCCTAAACTTTGATTCGTTTTATCTAAGTATTGTTTTGTTTTTATAATAACTATCGTGAGACATACTAAATTAAGTAAAGTCGCGGGTTACTCACGTGAATATACTGAGAAAAGCTCTACTAGTTTCGAACCACAGAGGGGTTCTTCCTCATGAGCAGCGTGCGCGGTCGATACGTGTCGAATATTTTTTCGTTACCTAACTGACGGACTAATTAGATTTTTAATTTTCTTACCCTGTCATTATCCCAAACTAGCTTCTGCCCGCGACTTCGTACGCGTAATCCCATTTTTCCCGTCCCCGTTCGTGATTTTCGGTAAAAAGTAAAAAAAAGTATTGGTTAAAAAGTATCCTATGTCGGTCTCCTGGCTCTAAGCTACCTCCATACAAATTTTCAGCCAAATCTATTCTGCCGTTCTTGAGTTATAAGTGGTGTAACTAACACGACTTCCTTTTATATATATAGACATATCGTTTACAGATATTTTCGCCACATGTCGCCCGGACTGAACGAGGTGTTAACTAAATACGTGAAGATACAGGAGGAGAATGGACATTCCATTAGTGAAGAGGTAAATTTATTTATTATTATTTTATTTTATTTGCTTTCTTGCAATTGTATACAATGGCGGACTTAATGCCTAGTGGCATTCTCTAACAGTTAACCTTATTTTATTATTATTTTAATTAATATTACTGATTATTATTTATGGGATATAAGCCGGTAGACGTGCGGACGTGTTGGGAAGGGAAGGTAATTGGGCCTGTTATAACCTCCCCCTCTCCGCCTACCCACCCGTTGTATCAGTGTGTCCAGGTCGTCGGTGGTATCACTGCGGTCGGGCCATGACTGCAGGGCCGCTAGTTTTATTCAATTTTCCGTGGTGTTTGACGATTGGGCTTTACCCAGTTGTACAGTCTCTTCTTTGTGCCTTCAGGCTTAATTCATTCTGTCTCCTGCAATAATTCACCGAGGGAAGTGGAAACCATAGTTTTTTCTTTTCTTATAATATCGTACCTCCGGTGCTATAACGTCATTTATGTATTGCGGGGCCCGCGCGCAACTGAACAATGAAACGTTGTTTCTCCTAGTGCCGTCCAGATTAGCGCCAAAACCGTAACGACAGTAATGCCCTCACAATGTCAGTTTGCTTACTACACAAATGACAATAAATAACGCACCAAGTAAAGTGGTGAATTTGGAGTATTCTTTCATCAGTTAAGGTTTGACAAAAATTGCATAAGTGACGATATTGCACCGTAGGTGCGATATGTTCTGATTCACTTCGTTGCGTGAACCAAAACAGTTATTCATGTCCCTGGGATGCGCCGGACTTCAGTGTTCCGGTGTTTTTTTTTTGCATAATCTGGTAAACAAGGAGACGGATCACATGACGGTAAGAATTCGGCGTCGCCCATGGACACTTGGAATACCAAAGGCATTACAAGTGCGTTACCGGCCTTTTAAGGATTAGGAGTTTAAGATTCGTTGGGGATTCAGGAATTGGGGAGATTGGGGAAGGGGAGGGTAATTGGGCCTCCGGTAACCTCACTCACAAGACGAAACACAACGCAAGCGTTGCTTCACGTCGGTTTTCTGTGAGGCCGTGGTATCACTCCGGTTTACATGGTTGTATCTACTGTAGATCCTGGTGTACAGGAGTTGCAGCGGTCTTGGGAGGTTGTGGTGGGTTTGACTTGGACGAGCTACAGTTAGTTTTAATAATAAAATTATAATATCTGATATATTGTGACATGAACAATTTGTAATTTTCAGCATTACTTAATCCAAGAGGACGCGATGGAACAAGCTGAAGACGTAGAGGTCCCCAAAGCGTTGGGTGACCTCTTCGAGTCCGTGGCTGGTGCTATTTTCTTGGATTCAGGTAAGAATTTAATTTAAACAAAATTATCAGTAGTAGCACGGAGTCTGGAACTGTGCCCCGTATATGGCAATAGGCTCACCCCCAGTGGCGTGCACAGGGTTTTAGAACAGGGTAGGCAACATAATATTGTATTATGATTAAACTCATCGTAAATACATAACATAATTCAACTTATGAGGTTTTTAATCTTTCGTCAATTTTTTGTAACAGTGCCATCTCTCGTTGTTTTCGTGAAGTATTACATCAACTTATTGATTACTCTAACAACTTAAAAACATTAATATTCTATTTTTCTCTTTAGATTTGTAAAACTAATCTGCATAATTACCTACTCGAGGTGCTGTATAACGATTAATCTAATTTATGTTATCAATTCAGTAGCAGTAACGAATTGTTCATTCTAAAAATTGTACTGAACTGGCGGCCTGTCCAGCCTTCTCACGTTTAATACAAGAATATTACGAATTCTTTACTCTTTTAATTTAATTCTTCGAATTAATAAGTTTGGTTCATCTATTCAAGAGATATTATGATTTTAAGAACTTGGGTATGACTAATAGAAAAATCGAACCGAGCGCGGCCGGCTGCGGCCGAGCCGAGTAAGCGGTAGTACATTTTTTAGTATTATTAAACATTCATTTACCTAGCTTATTCTTCTTCATTTCATTTTATAATTAGTACATAACATATTACTTAAAGCTTCGTTATTTTTACTGACTGAGTTGCCGCGACGGGAAGCTCCGCGTAGGTACCTACTTATGTTACATAACCTAATCACATTAAAATAAAGTAACTTTCATAGAACTTACCAAGACAAGACTATCAGAAGAAAAACTCACACACAATCTAATCACTAAGCGATGGTCTGCGATAGTTTATAATTCTTTACCAACTTTTGTCAACACAAACTTCACAGTTCTTCGTATAACTTTGCAAAATCAATTAACAAATAAACAAACACAGTAATAAAATGTACTTAATATATAAATAGACAATTTTATACCGTTTACTACAAATTATTTGCGTAGAATTACTAATCGTATTCTAAATCAAATAACAAAATTATCCGAAAATCCACGCATCGCACGTAAACAAAAACAAAAAAATTGTCACGCGCGAGCGGCGTGAAGTTCGCTGCGAGGCGACCAATGAGTAAACCAAGACACGGAACGTGATTGGTCGGCTCGCGGCGAACTTGAGTCACGAGTCGTCAGGCCGTGCCTGCAGGCAAGCTTCACGACGATAAAATAAACGCGTCTGTGCACTACGCACACAATGACGTTCACCACTACACGCTTAAATTTATGAATGGTTTGCAGGCGACGGAACCGCGTGCCTGCCTCGCGCGTTAATGTTTACAGCTATATACGGTACGCCTGGCGAAATGCAACACGTATCGCGCGCCATCATTGTTGCTATACTATTTATTTTAGGCGTTCACTAACTTTATTATAATTATTATTTTAGTATTCTGTAGTAAAATTAAAATGTTTATATCTTTTATTACGTAGTGTTATTCACGGTATTTGTAAGGTAGGCAAAGTCTTTTTGCCTATATGGACTGCACGCCACTGCTCACCCCCTATTACATGGGAGTCATAACATAAATAGTGAAAAGTGGGTGTTACAGTGTACAGTGGTAGTAATACACATCTGCCTAGCTTTTCGGGGATAAAAGGCGTGATGTTATGTTATGTATATTAATAGATGACAATTATTTTGTATAGGTATGTCCCTGGGCGCTGTATGGAAGTCGTACGTGAACCTGATGGGAGCTGAGTTGGAGGCGTTCAGTGCGGCCGCGCCGAAGTCTCCCGTAAGGGAACTACTTGAAGCTGAACCTGATACGGCTAAGTTTGGGTAAGTAGAAATAGGAAAAAAAACACAATATTATCATTATGGTACTGTGTGGTCGCAACTGCGACTGCCGAGCAAGAGGTTTCGGGTTAGATTTCTGGGTCGAACAAAACGAGTTGAATACCATAGTGATAAATAGCGTGTGGGTAGTCGTGGGGGGTTACTGGACACACAGTTACCCATCCCAATAATTAATATTTAAAAATCTTCCATAAACCTTAAATTTAAAGCACTAGTAACGCCTCTGGTGTTCCGTGTGTCCACGGGCGACGCCGATTGCTTACCATCAGGTGATCCGTCTGCTCGTTTATTAGCTTATCTCATAAAAAAATAATATCTACCTATTTCCGCGCGGTTTCACCCGCTCTGCTCGGCTCCTATTGATTGTAAAGCGTGATGTTTTATATCCAACACAAAAATATTTAGTTATTATTTTTTGGACTTACTCACGTAATTATTTGACGAAGAATTCGGCTAGTTTCAAGCCGTGTTAGAGGATTATATTTCCGAGAAGAAGTGCGCGGCGCTGCCTGTCCAGTGGCCGGGACGCCGGCCGGCACGCGCCACACTGCTGCACGCCAGGCTCGCCCGCCGGCGGCCGCGTACGTGTTAGGTTCGAATCCCAGGTCGACGCAAAACCAGTGTTACACACCGCGCTCACTGTATCACACTCCAGACCCACAATATTTCGCGAAGGACACTCCGGGCGTCGAGGACCGCGAGACGATCTCCGGCCACCGTAAGCGCGGGCCGGACGACATAGACTATGGGTGGCTCCTCGTCCGACCAGAAACAGACTCGAGCGTACGGCGCCCAGCGTGTAGCGCGCACCTTAAAAACCACCAGACCACCAGAGATGGGGCCCAACAGAGCCGATGCCGATACAGAGCTGTGGAAGACTCAACGGGATACCGGGGCTTCGGCTCGAAGTGCAAAAGTAGGAACGAGGCGGTTTTTAGTCAGTAAGAATCTGACACTCCCTCTCGCCACACCTAGGCACCTCTCCCTTAAAAAAAAACCCGCAGTATTGTACTCTGACGCAAATTTTAAAATCGGCTTCCAGGCTAGACCTTCTAGCATGACTTGAAACTAGTAGAGTTCCACGTCAAACAGTTAACGTAAGTCGAAAACGTAATAATTAATTTAGTATATCCAATAAGATTTATTCAAATCAACCAGTAGACCCAGACATTAATAAAAAATAGTTAGTGTAAGATAATAATTTCTTTTCGTCCACAGCAAACCAGAACGCCTAGCAGACGGGCGTCGCGTCCGCGTGTGTGTCGAAGTTTTCGGCCGCGGCACCTTCAAGGGGGTCGGCAGAAACTATAGGATAGCTAAAGGAACAGCTGCGCGATGCGCCTTAAGACATTTGAAGGTTCATAGAGCTCGCTAGCAGAAGGAGACTTGGTAAGATAAGATGTAGATTGCCAAAGAAGAAATAAAGTGTCATCTCGTTTCGCTAAAGACTGGAATTCCTTGTCAGAGTCTATGTTTCCTGAAGGGTATAACCTGGGTGTCTTCAAGGCTTGAGTGAATAGCTTGCTTATGGGACGACGTGCTACATCGTAGACCGCATCATCGCTTACAGGCGAGATAGCAAACGTCAACCTATTCAATATTATTTTGGAAGCTTTCATTGATTACAATGACAAAATGTATTAATAATATTGTAACATAATTCCTGTACTCACACCTCTATCTATGACTAAATCGTCAACAAGCGTGATGTTATGTAAAGTCTTTTCTTATGCATACGAAAAGACTGATTTCGTCTTAGATTTAAGCTTAATCTAGATTTTTAACGGCGCAATACACCGAAACAACCTCAATATAGCTAACATAGGGAAATTTTGATATGCAAATTTAAAAAAAAAACAGATATTAACATAATATGTAAATAATTAATTCGTGTATTGTTCAGATGAGCCTCGTTGGCCGAGTGGTCGCAAGTGCGACTGCCGGGCAAGGAGTCTGGGTCGGACAATGTTTTATTGGGGTGTAAAAAAATCTTCAGTGTAAGCACGGAGTCTGGAATTGTGCCCGGTATATGGCAATAGACTCACCCCCTATTACATGGGACTCGTAACATAAATAGTGAAAAGTGGGTGTTACATTGTACATTGGCATTAAGTGCCGTAATGTGCACCTCTGACTACGTATCTTCAGATAAGGTCGGCCATTTTCGAATCACACGACGGCTTTTAAATATGAACTCAATCCTTACTAATATTATAAATCGGAAAGTGAGTTTGTTTGTTTGTTTGTTTGTTCCGCTTTCAAGCAGTAACTACTAAACCGATTACTTTGAATTTTTGCAGACGTAAAGTTAGAAGTCTGGATTAAATAATAGGGTACTTTTTATCCCGGACAAATTTGATATTCTCGAGGGAAAACGAAATTATTGGTATAGATGGCGCTGTGTGTATATGTCACATAGGCTACTTTTTATCCTTTTGTGACGCGAGCGAAGCCGCGGGTTTTAAAAGCTAGTGTTATATAAATTTTAAACGTTTCATTAGCCATTGCGCTTAAACGTGTTGTAGTAAAATGCGTAAATATTGTCTTCTTTGAGCAATAAGACGAAGCAAAGCTTTGTAGTCGATTTAGTGCATTAATATTAGACAACTTTGTGAGTATTGCGTAATCCAAAGTATGTACTTTTAAAGTGCAATTTGAAATGTAACAACTGTATGCCTATTTGTAGCAATAACTACTTTTTGAGAGAGAAAATCGATCCAATGACTTCTCCCGCCTTGGGCGTGACTAGAGGTATTATAACACAGTGTAATGTGTATTTTTCTGCAATTCTAAGGCTCTAAACAGACGAACTGCATTTCAACTGCAACCCAACTGCAAATTGCAGTTTGGTCTTAGTTGACACAACTGCAATAGAACTGCAATCGGACTTCACGTTTGGTTTGCAACCGTTTGGTCATAACTGCAATAGAACTGCAATCGGACTGCTCGTTTGGTTTGAAACCGGTTGGTCATGACTGCAATAGAACTGCAATCGGACTGCTCGTTTGGTTTGCAACAGTTTGGTCATGACTGCAATAGAACTGCAATCGGACTGCCCGTTTGGTTTACAAAAGTCTGGTCATGACTGCAATAGAGCTGTAATAGGACTTCACGTTTGGTTTGCTACTGATTGGTCATGACTGCAATAGAGTACTATTGCAGTAACAACCGGACGCAGCAATAGCACTGTAATCGGACTGCTCGTTTGGTTTGCAACAGTTTGGTCATAACTGCAATGGACCTACAATCGGACTCACGTTTGGTTTGCTACTGATTGGTCATGACTGCAATAGAGTACTATTGCAATAACAACTGGACGCAGCAATAGCACTGCAATCGGACTGCTCGATTGGTTTGCAGTTAAATTACATTCATGACACGACTGTATTCAAACTGCTACTTGCGTTTGGATTGCAGTTGAAATGCGGTCTGTCTTTCTAGAGCCTTATTTCTATGTGCAATTTATAATGCCAACTTATATATAATTTCATAATAGGGATGATGACAGGGTATGACAATTAAAAATCTAATTAGTCCGTCAGTTAGGTAATGAAAAAATATTAGACACGTATTTTTTTATTTTGTCGTATAATAAAACAATACTTAGATAACACGAATCAAAGTTTAGGAATGGGAGTAAGTTACGTCAGAGTATAAATCGTACTCAAAAGTGACGTCACGCGATATTTCAAATCAATATATCTTCGAAAGTATTTAATTTTGTGAGAAAACTAAAAATACGTGTCTAATGTTTTTAAATAATCCACCAGACGGACGTTGAAATAAAAATTGGTCATCTACCCTATTATTACTGTTATAGTCATAATTAGAATAAAGCTATTTAATAACAAGCGCTTATTTACCTTGCAATATAGTGTATGTGTCTGAGTATGAAGTATAATCTTGAAACTCAATTTTGTAGCAGATATCTTTAACCGATTGAACTGTCATTTTGTATACACGATTAGTTCGCATGCCAATAAATGCGAAGCTAAAGAAAAGCTTGTTTTTAATATACATTTATTTTAAATATGTGTGTTTATAATTTTATAGTATCATATTTACTTTTAATGGTATTTCTATGACTTTATAATGTTTATAGCATTCTCATATTAGACAAAGATCGATGTGAAATGTTCATAAACAAGCCACAAAGGTGCGAGTACATCTGTCCGCAGCAAATAGCAGTTTGTGTGCTTGTATAGTTGGGTCATCACTCAGAACTGTCAGTAAATAGAGTGAGAGAGAGAGAGAGAGAGAGAGAGAGAGAGGGCGGGAGTGAGGCGGACGTAGCGGGTAGATGACTATACCATTTTTGTTTCGATGTCCGTCTGGTAGATTATTAACAAAACAATGTAACTAGAGAATTGTATTGTGATCCTGATTGAAAAAGAGTAACCTATGGAGTTTCTTGCTCGTTGTTCTCCATAGGAATCTACACCTGGGAATGAGCAAAAAGCTTCACTTTTACATTTTTTTTGACGTTTAAAAGTGCCTTTCTGGTCTAATTAAAATAAATGATTTTGACTTTGACTTCATTAGACACGTATTTTTTATATCAGTAAATAGAGAGAGAGAGAGAGAGAGAGAGGGCGGGAGTGGGACGGACGTAGCGGGTACATACACACGGACAAATACACTTATGGCTTGTTTGTGAACATCTCACGTCGATCTTGATTATTAAATAATTAATATTTTTAATATGTCGTATGAAAGATTTTAATTTAAGTGTGCTAAGTATCGAAAAGTATGTAAAATTTGATAAAACCAAAAAAGTCACTAATATTAAATTTTGTAAACGGGTATTCTGGTAGCTCAAAATTATGTGTTGTTAAAGTGAATAATGATAATAGGGTAGTATCCTAAATTTTATTTTAATGTCAGTCTGGTAGATTATTTTAAAACATTAGACACGTATTTTTTCTTTTCTTACAGCAACGAATACTTTCGACGATATATTGATTTGAAATGTCGTCGTGACGTCACAGCGTGCTACAAAATGTACCACGTTGTGACGTAACTACCTCCCACTCCTAAACTTAACTACATTTTATCTAAGTATTGTACCTTTATACGAGAAAATAAAAAATATGTGTCTAATATTTTTTTATTGTCTAACTGACGGATTAATTAGATTTTTAATTTTCATACCCTGGAAACTACCCAATTGATTGAGCGCGGTCGTAGATTCGATTTCTGGAAGAATAATACTGAAATGACTTTGGATTTTGTCTATTTGGTATAAGACTATTGGGTCTTTCCTTTTTTTATTACCCAATGAGTTTTTAGGGAATATAGAATGAAGAAGCGTTTGACAATTGATAGGGGGGCCTATTACATGGGACACATAACATAAATAGTGGAATTTAGAAGTGGGTTTTACATTGTACAGTGGCATTAAGTCCCGTAATGTACTCCTTCGGGGGTAAAGACGTGATGCTATGTTATGTTAGGAAGACTAAAATCTGTCAATATGATCATTATATTCTCCAGAATTATCTAAAGTTGGAAAAATCAACTCCAAGTATTTTTTTTTATTTGAAAATACTTAACCTGTTAAATTAACATCCTCTAAATTTGTTCATACAAAAGTAGTCTCTAGACATTGGAAATAAGGACTATAATGTAGTTAGTGGTGAGCGGTCACCGGTGATCGCTTGAGGATATATGGTTTAAATGCAATGTCCTTTGTCTATCAACTTATTTTAACGTGGAATTTAATTAGTGCAATGTTAAAATATATTATATTTTTTATTTAAGCTTAATATTAGATAATATAAGGATATTATAAACTAGAATTATAAGTTTATAAGCCAATTAGATGTCTTTTTATACTTAGAAATAATTATAATTGGGTACTTGCCTTTATCAAAAATGAATTATTTCGACTGTTCAATACAATAAAATATTAAAACATAATCACACATTCATTAATTGATTTTATGACCATATTAATTTTGGTATAATCCCAGCAAATTTTTAAGAAATAACTATGATGTTTGACGCTAAAAAACGTGACGTCACAATACACAATCTCGTACAAAATTCATAGAAAACTGTCGTTTTCGACAGTTCGAAAAAAGTATTGAATTTGACTAGTTGGCAAATACCTAATTATTTACAAATCGTTGGCGTGGGCGCGTTATAAGCATTATACCACTCGCGTTAATCAATCGTAACTTTTAAAACAATAGGGATAATGACGAGGTATGAAAATTAAACATCTAATTAATCTGTAAGTTAGGTAATGAAAAAATATTAGACACGTATTTTTTTATTTTGTCGTATAATAAAACAATACTTAGATAAAACGAATCAATGTTTAGGAGTGGGGGTTAAAACGTCATTTCTACATATAAAATGTACATAGAAGTGACGTCACGCGACATTTCAAATCAATATACCGTGGAAAGTATTTGTTTCTGTAAGAAAATAAAAAATACGTGTCTAATGATTTAAAATAATCTACCAGACGGACATTGAAGTAGGAATTGGGTACGTATCTTAATAAAAAATAAATTATTTCGACTGTTCAATAGAATAAAATATTAAAAAATAATCACACTTTCATTAATTGATTGTATAATCAACTTAATTTTAGTATTTCTCCAGCAAAATTTTAAAGAAATAACTATGCTGTTAGACGCTATAAAAACGTGACGTCACAATACACAATCTCGTACAAAATTCATAGAAAACTCTCGTTTTCGACATTTCCAAAAAAGTATTGAATTTGACTATTTGGTAAGTACCCAATTTGGCATGTATCCTATTGCCTGATAGTCTTGCACTTGTTCGTAGCTGCCTCTAGTCTCCTTAGCAAGGCGTGTCGAAAGATTTGTCGCTTTTAAGTACGCTGGAGACCGGGTGAGAAGGTAATAATATTTGTTACCACCAGATATCGTTGCGCGGCAAAATGCTCGCCACGCGCCCACAGACGTTTTGCAAAAGCTATACGCCACTCTAAAGTTAATTACTACAAAAAATAAAGTGATTGTAATTGTTTAACCAGTCTTTGTTTTTATGATAACTATCGTGAGACATACTAAATTAAATAAAAA